CTTTTTTATTATATAATAAAATAATAATTAAATATTATATGGTGAACAACAATAAGTAAAATTGTTACTTTCTCTTATATCAAGGGATAAATTTATATGCTAAAATTAAATTTTTATTAGTATAAATGTTTTAGTGAGATAATATATTAATTATTTTACAAGCTAGTCCTAACATGCTCATATTTAATGTTTTAAATGATGTAGAAAAAAATTTATAATAACTCTATTGTTTTTTAGACTTAAACGTTGATTAAAAGAGGTAAAAATTTTTAATTTTTTAGATTTAAACGTTGATTAACACCATAGATTGAGAGTCTATATTTAATAAAATTCCTAATTGTAATAAAAAAATTAATTTTTGCTATATTTTAGAATATCTTTAAATTCATTATAAAAAAAAAGAAAAAAAAACTACAATGAAAAAAAGTCAGCTATATATCGATTTGTTGTACTCCTCAAATCACATTCACAATTTGGCTACATGGAAAAGAAATTCATTGTAATGTACAAGAGATTTTAAGACTCCACTTGAATATTATAAAATTTTTATGAAATGTTATTCTAAACAAGTATCTCCTCACCTTCCAACTAGTAATCAATTAATAAACGATCAAAAGATTTGTCTTATCAATTTATAAACGATCCAAAGATTCGTCTTCTGTAAGCTCAATTAATAATTAAATATCATATTCCAAGTTCAATTCCCTCGTTTAGTTAGTTTATTTTCGTTGTATTTGACAATTTTAAAGTTAATGCTAAATCAATGATAGTATAGTATACACTATTTGAGACCGTCTGATGAATGCAAAGTAACCGATTTGAGGTTAGCTATGATAGTAATTAAATAATATTTAAGAAACGCTGTCTTCCAGTTGTATAGAAACTATATATATTTACATGTGTAGTCTATTTTAGTCCAAAAATCTAAAGTTTGGGTTTCAATTAGAAATTGGTTGTATACAGGCTGGTTAGTTAATTTATTGCACGAAACCCAAAATTTATCCATATGTGCTTGTCAGATCAGATTAGACAATAATAGTTGAAAAGAAAAAAAGAAAATGCAATTTATTGAAGCGATGAAAAAGAGGTAAGGAATGATTGTGAAAGCTGGTTATGGGCTGGGAAATTGGAATCATTATTGTTTACGTAATGTTTGACGGCAACTATTAATTAATTAATTGCTTACAACTGTCATCAATTTCATGCCCTTTGCCTGTCAACTTCATCTTCCCAATCAAAATACTATTTTGCCCATCCCCACCCTTATTATCGGACATCTATGTGTAGGGACTTTTTATAAAATATAATATAATATAATACCCAATTTCGCACCACTTTAATTAATAATGTCTAAACAACATGTTTAGGAAGTCGTAATGATGGTTGTCATGGTGGAAATGAAGTATGTGTTTGAAAATATCTAAGGTGGTGATTGTTTATGAAATAATTTGTTCAAAATGAATTATTTTGGTTAATTATAATTAATTTTGAAAAAAAGTGGTATAGTTAGTTGTTAATGGAATTTTAAGAATGTATTATAATAATATTTAAAATAAAATGATTAAAATTGATTTGATGTAAAAGTAGGAGATAAATGATTGATAGTTAAAATTATGTGAGTGGATGAATAGTGAATTGAAGTTGATGTGATGTGTAAAAATGATTGACTTGTATTATCTAATTATATGAATAATATTAAATATAGTAGGGTTAAGTTAAAGTTGAATTAGATTTTGAGTATGAAATAAATGTGAATGAAATAATTCATAAACAATCAAGCCCTAATGTATCTACTGTATTTGATACTTGAAAACGGAGAACTTGATTAATTTGATTAATATCTATAAAGTTGGGCAGCTATTCTAACAGCCTTTAGCTCCTTTGAAGAGAATGACTGACTTAAGATGATATCAATTAGAATTTTGAAGATTATTTTCTAATTGGCATGACTTGAAGGGTATTCACTGTCCTGGTTAAACACATACACACACACACACAAAAAAAAATGATTTAAATAACGCAATTATATTTTGAAGGATTTTATTTAATTATTCCGTATGTGTTTGACAGGGAGCACCGGACTTATCCGAAGAAATATGTGAGTATTGGTTTGGATTAGGAGAAGATCATCCTCCAACCACTACCATGGTTAGAAAGGAATATCAAAAGAAGATCATTTACCAATTATGCCCTCAAGAGGCAAGTTTATTTACTATTTCCCTCTAAACAATTTATATATCCATCCATCAAATGAAAACGGTTAAAGGAATTAAACGAACAAGTACTAGGAAAATGAACACTTACTCCATCCACACTATTATCACATTGTATATTTAGTGTTGAATGAGTGAAAAAGTTGATGTGATTTATTTATATATAACCAAAATAATAACAAATAATTATTATTAATTCAAAATGCAGGCAGATATAATAATTTATGTATTTATTTGTTCAGGATACGACTTTAGCGGGCATGCTATTAAGGCCGGGGCCCGTCCAAGCACTTACAACAGCTCGGTTTAAGGAAGCCGAGGAGGATGGTGCAGCTGCACAGGTGCCAAGAATATATATAAAAACGACTATGGACAACGTTGTTAAACCCGAGCAACAAGAGGCTATGATCAAGAGATGGGAACCGTCGGATGTTTATGTTCTCGAAACTGATCACAGCCCTTTCTTTTCTGCTCCTTTTTTGCTCTTTGGTTTGCTGGTTAAGGCCGCTATTTCTGTTGGATGTTGAAAACTGATCACACCCTTATTNATTTTCCGGATTTATTAGTGTTGTGAATAATGAAAGTACGAGCCACTAAAATAACGAACAATTGGTTGAAGGATTGTGGAAATTATCTAATTGTAAAAAGGAAAAAAGCTCGCATATAAATTATATATCCCTCCATCCTCCATATGCATAAATGTAGAGGTTCACGAGTCTATGTGTCTTGTTTATAACCTTGGTGCTCTATTGTCATGTCTTGTTTATCCATGCTCTATGTATAGGTTTTTTTATATAATGAAACACATGATCAACACAAATTATAATTATTTTTTAAAATTTACAAACATTTTTTATTTGTTTCTAATTTTTTATAACAAATAAAAGTACACAGTTATTATTGTTTGGTTATGTAAAGAAGGTCGGTTAATAGTTTGATATGGGATGTCAAATCAAGTCGGCTCGACAGGAGGAGTAGTCCATTTAAGCTAGGAGAACTGGCACGTCGATTGGAGGTCGCAGACCAAGGAGGTCACTCAGGCATCAGGTCGGCGATGATGCGCCGTTAAAGAGGTACGCCGGTAGGTCGAGTTACGGTCTTCGGGTGGCTGATAGAAACTCGATCGGATGTATGCAGGTCGATAGATCGACCTGAAGGACGAAATACGCGAGCACAATGAGAAGACAATCCAGCTCGATGGAAGCTGAGCTGGTTGTATGATTAGACCGTCTAATAAGGAAGACTAAGAGATATGAAGAAATATTATTAGAATAGCAATCACACGTGGCCTAATAGAACCAGATATTTTGGGCACTCGAACAGTAAGAACGAGTAGCTCAGGCACTCGGACAGCCCATCCGGGCAAGCTTGGGCAACAATGTATCATCTGTCCATCATCTTCTTCATCACTATGGGCTGATTTGATCGTCAGAGTGCTAATACCGGGATCCCCTCCTGGCCGTTTTGCAGGTCTACGAATAGGTCAAGAAGTCCAAGTCGTGCGAACCCAATTGAGGTCTTTTGCACATCATTTTGGAGTCGTCTGTGGGACATCGTTTAAAAAGCCATCAAACTACCACTGTTCAGGGCGAGTGATGACCCCATGAGGAATTTGTAACCCACCTTCGATGAGACTTGGGTCTCCAACCAACCGTTGAGAGCTGACCCACTGTCGGGCTCCTCAAGGTCTAGCTAGACTCAGGTGACCCCAATGAACCATCCATCGGATTTAGCGCGTTCATCGACAAGCAGTTGGATGGTAGATCAACCACGTACAAGATGCAAAGGTCATTTCTGTGCATCTAGCACAGTCAAATCTACCTCAAGTCGAGCCGATGGGACCACTTGCTGGTAAAGTGACGTCTACAGGCTAGCAGGTCATCACATTGACCTCGGAGAAGATGAACGAAATGGTAGCCGACGTTGATACAGCTAGATATGCCCAACAATTGATGTCGAACGCAATAACTATTACTACAACGACGAGAAAGGACGCGGAGGTTAAAATTTTGAGCAATACTGGTGGAGGAGCCCATCATGACCCCATGGTATAATAAATGGTAGAACAGATCATGGAGTTGCAGGCGAAGCTTGAAGGAAAGAAAGTGGGGAGAGCTCATGGACATCCATTTTCCTAGATGATCTTAGATGTCGACCTGCAAAACGGATTCTGAGAGCTCAGCATTACCTATGACGAGTCCATAGATCCATTTTGTCATTTGAGGTTGTTCGAAAATTTGTTTGTCCTACAGGATTATTTGGATGTCGTGAGCTGCAGAAGTTCTTAACACTTGTGGGGGGGAGAGCACAAGATTGGTTCCATCATCTTACCCCAGGATCAGTCAAGGATTTTGAGGAGTTTCCATGTTCGTTAACCAGTTCGCGAGTGCGAGGTTTTAGGAGAAGACTTGTCTGACTTTGATAGCGATGCAACACAAGCATGTAGAAACATTGTGGAGTTATGTTGGTCGATACACTTGTGCATGTGTTGTGGTCCTTTCAGCCTTAGACGAGGTGAAAGATGGAGGATTTACTAGAGACTTGCGGGCTGGTCCCTGCAAGAGCTCGTGGGCCAAAAAACCGACGTTAACTACAGTGAAGTCTTGAAGAGATGCAACAAGTATGTAAAAATATAAAAGTCGCAGGACAAATTTGCTAATCTAGAGAAGCTGTCTCGACCAGAGGAGAGGAAGGAAAGTCAGAGATCGCCAAAGAATGAGAGGCTGGAAGGAAAGAGGGAGGACATGTACAGATAAGGACCTGTGAGAGATGGCAAGAGGTATGATAGTTACACTCTATTGACATCGAATCTGGCAGAGGTATTGGAGACCATGGAAAGAACTATGGATGGGGATAGTATCATGTGGCCAAAGTCGAGAAGAGAGTGTCCGTGTAGTGCCCCATTTGTTCCGGAATAATTGGATAATATTAGTTGGCATTTATTTTATTTTCCAAATTTATTTTCGGGCTCGATAATTTTATTTCAATTATGTGCTCGTAATTGCTAAATTGTATTAATTTTAATGTCGAGCCGAATCGTATTATTTATTTTATTTTCGGTCGAACCGAAAATATTAAATAACCGAGACTCCGAATCGAGCGAGTATACGTGTTAATTTATCGAACCGGGCCGCCCAAACCCACCTATTTTTCCTCTCCAGCCAGACCACCCGCTCGCACCAACCCGCCGGTTTGAACCCGCGCCCCGCGTGAGAAAACCGGCCCCAAACCTGTCTCTCATCTCTTGTGCATACATGAGATATGTAGTATGCTGAGTTTTCTATATCTGGGCTTTGGAATTTCTCGATTCCGATCTATGTCGAAAAAGTTATGATTTTTGCAAGATTTGTTGTACGTCCAGCTTTTTCTGTAACCGACGGCATAAATGTATTAAATGGTTGATGTGTTTTTCATGTCAAAATGTGCTCGTACGAACCTACACTCTTCATGAAAGTTGTAGATCTGTTTCTTACCTTTCAAATGAGATAAATTTTATGTGGATGTGTACTCTGTAGCTCGAATTGTGTTCACATGAAGTTAGATATGCATGAGTTAGGATTTATCACTTTGACAGAAATCGGCCAATGTATGTTAACCGATTTTTCACTATCCAAATGATCTCTTATGATTCTGTGTTCTAAATGAAAGTTGTAAAGGCATATTTAAGGTTTAATTTGATATTTGAACCATATCATTTTAAGGTCTGTAACTCGGGTTAAATGATAAAGACTGAAGTGTTGTCCATATCATGTGTTAGATCTTGACAGTTTTGCTGAACCAATTGTTTTGTGTTTAAACTCGTTGAATATGTGCTTATTTGTCAATGTGGTATTCAGCAAAGTTGTAGACACTTAAGTTATATATCATGTAGTTTATAAATTTCATTAATATCATTCCTGTAGCTCCAGTTATATAGTAATTACTGAAGTCTGGTCAAGTTCATTTTTCCAGTTTTGGACTGTGATTCAATTTTTAATGTTTGCTAATTTATCACCTATTAAATGACCTTATTTGCTTTCGGTGTCTTCACAAGAGTTGTAGCTTCATGTCTTAGGGTTCCAATGCAACTTGAATCATGTTCATATGAGTTATATGCTGAAAGTTATGTCGATTTTAAAAACGCTGCCCGAGTCAACTTTTCAAAACTTATGTGATATTTTCGAAAATGTGTTTTTCCTTGTTTTAAAGCGTGCTTAAATGATTTCGTGATCTTAGTTAGACTTAGTGATTATAGAATAGTCTTTGATAAGGCTATTTTACTAAATGTAGGTGTTTGACGAGTCGACCTCGCCGTCTACCCTTATTTTGTGTTTATTCTGATCGCTACCAGGTGGGTTCATTTATGTTGAATCGACATTTATCGCACTTGTTATTTCGTATAAATGTTTGTCGCGATAGCTTTTGTATGCATGAGTACCCTAGTCTAAGTGTCCTGACGGTAGTGCCTTTGACGAATGCATAATCAGTGGAAGTTACCTGCCCGTTGCATCCGAGAGGTGGACGCCCGAATCCGTGTAGAGCGGTAGGGATTGTCCGAACGCCCGAATCCGTGTAGAGCAGAGGGGTATTTCAACTTCACTGTCTCCTGGATAATATCCTATGCCCGTTGCATCTGGGGTGGGAGTGCTTCCAGTTACATCCTTGCCGATGTCTGATCGGAAGGTTTGTTGTATGTACATAGGAGGTTTGCGATAGGGCCTAATAGGGAGTTAGATGTGGATTCTATGCATACATTATTTATAGTTATGGATCTTTATGCGAAATATATTGTGCGGTAATGGTGAGTATGATGGTTGTACTCACCCCCATTTACTTTTTCTGTCCTCTTGTTCCTCTTCCTATCCTTTTAGGTTGAGCATGGTTGGCGGCGGCAGCGAGGGAAGATCGAGTGGTGATCGTTGGATTGTGTGTTACTTGCTTCCGCTTTTCTTTCTGTTATCTTGATAGACCATTTGTTTAACTTTGAATATTTATGCTTTCGGTTTATTTATTTCGAACATGTTGGAATATTTAATTATGCATGACTGGGTTTGAGGATTATGAATAAATTGGATTTTGTTTTGAACTGTTGGATTTTTATCTGTGTAAATGTTTATTTGTTTTAGTTGTTTAAGTAGCGCCCGTTAAATATTAAAATTTTAAATTGGGATTTTGCGAAAAATAAACTATGATTTTTTTTTATAAATAAATTCGATAAATTCTTTAAAATAAGACGGGGCGTTACAGTCCGGCCCAATCCACATCTAACATGTACTATTGTTTTCATGGAGACTATGACCACACGATGGATAACTGCAGGCACCTCAAGGATGAGATCGAGCGGTTCATTAGGGCGGGTCACTTGAAGGAATTTGTGTACAAGGGCCCGAGAGACGAGGTCAAAAGAAAGGCAGATAAAGAAAAACGACCAAAGGAGCATGAGGTCAAGGTCGAAAACGAAGCACCTCCCAAGAAGGGGGTGATTCATATGATTTTTTTGGGTGGGGAGGGGGAGGGTGCACTGATTGAGACTCCACCAATTCAAGGAAACTGCATACTTGAGCTGCAAAGAGAAAAAGGGAGGAGGTCGGGCTCACATCCAAGCAGTCCATTATAAGTTTCAAATCAGAAGACATCCAAGGGGTTCATGTGCCTCACAATGATGCACTGGTTATCTTTGTGGAGGTCACTGGTTATAAGGTTCAGTGTATATTCATCGACACGGGAAGTTTGGTAGATGTGATGTTTTACGACAACTTCAAACAGATGGACCTAGACGTTGAGTTGAAGGAGGTCAATACATCGTTGTTTTTATAATGATGGAGGGGTTGTACCCATGGGAGGTCACTCTCCCTATTGCTATGGGGTCTGGGTCGGCATAGAAGATAAAAATGGTTCAATTTCTGGTCGTAAGAGCCTAGTCAACTTCTAATATCATTCTGGGAAGGTCGAGTTGGAATTCTTTCAAAGTAGTGGTATCCACTTATCACATGAAAGTCATGTTTGAGTTGGATAGGTCGGAGGCGACCAACTCGCTGCCAAAAATAGTGTTATTAGGTGACAGTCAGGGCATGACAGCAGGCTCCTAGAAATGGTGATAGTTCTAGCAAAGAGGTCCTTTTAGAAAATAGCAAATGGAGTAAGAAGGTGGTCGGGCACAAGCCGAATGAGCACATACTTTGAGAGACGACAAAAAAAGTTAATTACTGGATCACGGAGTATGGTGATATGGAATGAAAAAATATAGGCTTGAATTTTTTCCCTATAATTTTCACATTTCTCGAGGTTAATGAAGATTTTTATTCCCTCAATGTGTTGTTGTATTGAAAGAATTAGGGTGATCGAGGTGTGATGGTCGAGCTCAGTGGTAGGGCAACCCCATTACAAAATAGAGCCTCAACAAAAATATAACATGACTAAGGCTTTCGAGATGGCTGATCGTTTTTCGAACGACCTCAAAGAAGGGTTGGGCAAGTGTTGAAGAAATAAAATCCAGTATGATTAAGGCCTTCTGGTTGGTTGGTCGCTTGTCTGAACGAACTCAACGACAAGTCGAGCAAGTGTTGAAGACAAAAATCTAGCATGATTAAAGCTTTCAAATTGGATGGTCGCTTGTTTGAACTATCCAGGAAAATTATTTTCATTAAATTTACTTTATAGTCTGGACCTTTCGCTAAGGTGCTTAACAATGAACCTTTATTTAACTTCATAATTTGAAATGTGATCGTCACCTGATCTTCAGTTGAATAGACTTATCGCTGAGGTTTATTTTTGAAAACCTTCAGCTTGTTAAAACGTGGTACACTCGATCTTGAGTTTGCTCAAACGCTAAAATAATCAGCTCGGGGGTCTCAATTATGCCAAGCGTTATACCGCTAAGGTTCTAACACTTGCATGTCTTACCTCTGAGGTCGTTCAAACAAGTGACCGAACCAGCTTGAAAGCCATAATCATGCTGAATGTTTGCCATCAAGGCTCAAACACTTATCCAACGCTACTCTATGATCGTTCAAACAAGATACGAGCCAGATTGAAAGTTTTAATCATACTGGATTTTTGCCTTCAACACTTGTCCGACTTGCTGCTGAGGTAGTTCGAACAAGCGACCAGCCAGCTCGAAAGCCTTAATCATGTTGGAATTTTATCTTTAACACTTGTTCGACCTGTTGCTGAGGTCATTCAAACAAGCGACCAGCCACCTGAAAGCCTTAATCATGCGGGGTTTTTGTATTTAACACTTGCTCAGCCTTCATCTGGGGTTGTTCAAACAAGAGACCAGGCAACTCGAAAGCCTTAATCATGCTGGATTTTTGTCTTCAATACTTACCCTACCTGCTGCTGAGGTCGTTCGAACAAGCGATCAGTTGACTCGAAAGCCTTAATTATGTTGGATTTTTATCTTCAACACTATATAACCCTCATTTGGGCCCATTTAAGCAAGCGACCCACCAACTTAAAAGCCTTAATTCAGCATGATTTTTGTCTTCAACACTTGCCCGACATGCTGCTGAGACAGTTTGAACATGCGACCAGCAAGCTCGAAAGCCATAATCATGTTGGATTTTTGTCTTAAACACTTGCCCGACTTGCTGCTGGGGTCGTTCAAATAATCGACCAGTCAGCTCAAAAGCCTTAGTCATACTGGATTTTTGTCTACACTACGAGTTAAAGATGATGACCTCAGCGGAATATCGAATGAAAAAAGTGTTCTTAATTACAAGTCAATTACGGAAACTCTAATCCCAAAATGGATTCCGCAATGGAAAATCGATCGATTCGGGTATCTTTAAAGTGTGCGAACATTTCTATATGTTAAGGCCATCGACTTCAGTGGAAGATCGAAGTAATTGAGATTACATGAATATTAAATGTAAAGGTTTCCAAGGAGTTCAATATTTACAAATGTTAAAGGGTGGTCGATAAGCACAAATGCAATAACCAGAAAGAAAAAATTAACAGAAAAAGTGTGAAGTACAAATGATTACATTGCAAACTTGGTCATTGAGAAGAAACAAAATATTCAAAACTACAATAAAAAAGGAGTACAAAACAAAATGATAAGCTATGAAGGAGAAGCAGAAGATCCCTCGACAACAGCCTGGTCGGAAGTGGGTTCGGCAATAACTTGGTCAACAGTGACCTGGGAGTCGGCTTCAACAACCGGCTCAGTGGTAGCCGCAGGCCCCTCCACGACCTCAGTCGCAGCTTCTACATTAAGAACTTGGTAGATGGGCTCGACCACAAGTAGAGTGGCCGGAAGTATGAGCTTCTTCTTTAAATTATTCCGGTGAAGAGCTCTCTCAATTGTTTTCCCTCACCACTGATTGTTGGCAGAAAGACCAGGTTAACCTTCATACTTGGCGGGGAAATCTGGCACTCTATCTTGAATGGCCTCACGATCAAAGAACCATGAAAATCCTAGAGCTCTGAACTGCTCCTCGACCTGATCCAATGCTAAGTTAAAGTATTGCACAGTAATTGGAACAAGCTTTTGTAAGAAGCTCATGTTAGGACTCGGTAAGGATCGTCGAAATCATGCAAGTTACGAATAACTACAAATTAAGCCTTAAGCGCAGTGGAACTAGAAGCAAGGGTTCAACGTGTACCGTTTTAAATTTTGTCAACTCTGAGACGTTTCAGATTTTTGTTGTTGGAGATCGTCTGAGTCACATGTTCGTTGGGCTGCCGGACTAGGCCTACCATCACTAGACGTCGACCGTGTTGCTCGTCTTGCATCACCAGTCGTTCACCGTCCGCGTCGGACCATGCCTGACTCGCCACGGGCTCACTGTTACTCTCCGGACCCCTGCTGGACCACCTGGGCTCGGTTTGGGCCACCTAGCTGTGCTGTCCAGGCGCTAGGTCGTTGCTGACCTCGTTATCCGCGTCACTGGGCTGGCTGCTAGATGTTTGGGCCACGATGGAGTATTGGACGCAAGATGGGCCACGGGAAGCTGGGCTTAAGCAACACTAAAGATCCTAGGCAGAACACGGACTGAAGACTGTGAGGAGACGCAGGCCGCAAGGGGTGGATGCGGCCCGCATGCTGGAGCTACCTCACTGATGGACCTTCTCGCTGGGCTTCACGCTGCTGAATCATGCCTGCTCTGCAGGGCTTCCTCTGCAACTGGATCGCGCTCTGTGGGACTGGCCTATGCTGGGCTGTGCACATGACACCTGGTTGCTGGGCCATCTCCCTAGGCTGCACGCGAACATCTGGTGCACTGGGCTGCGAGCCCAACGGTTGCTGGTCAGCACCTGTGCGTCGCCGCGGCTCGCTGGTGCTCGCCTGCCCGACCACCTTGGCCGATCGCTGCCAAAATTTGACCAGAGGGTCACCGAAAAATGTCGAACACCATGGCATGGTTGCTGATTGATTTCGAGACATCCAGTGGACATAATTCTCAGATTACGTAAAGAACGGACAATCTCGCAAATTACAAAAACATTACGGTGTTGAATATATATATATATATATAGGGTTGGGTTCAAGTGAGAATGGTGCTTAATGAAAGAAATAAGAATGTATCGTAGCCATTATATCGGATGATCTAATGACTGAAAAAAAAAGCCAAATTATATCATCATTAAGGGTATTATGGACATTTATTTAGACACCAACTATCAACCACATGGGCCCAACCACAATTAACACATTGAAATTCCCAGAACCAGCCTGTCACCACCTCACCTTCTCTCTCTCTCTCTCACACACACTCAATCTCTCTCACACACACACATTCACGCACAGTACACACAGTACAGACACACGCAGGGGATGCATATGCACAATCGCCGGCTGAACACGCACAATCACCAGCGGAACACCCACACTCACCGGCGGAACCTTCGGCCATCCATAGTCGTCGCCAACGTCACAACTCAGCCTCCGTCACGCATCCACCGTCGTCGCACCACCATCGCCACCGAACTCCTCTGCAAATTCTTGTCTTTCCTCCGTCGCCACAGTTCTTTCATCGGCCGTCTCGATTCATCTTCTGCGACTTTCCATTCGGGGAAAACCTCGACACAACTGTCAGCCCTCCGCCGCCTTTGCCTAACTCCGGCAACCTCCAATAGCGACCAAATCGACCTTCCATCAACCCCGAACAAGAAGTTCCTAGTGCGGTTGTGCAGAGTGTTGTCTTCGATTGCGTCAACTTAGCCGGAGATCCGCGCCTGGAGGATAATCCCAACCACTGCTTGGCTTAATTGAGCTTGGGTGTTTTTTTTTAAAATTAGAAAGGGTTCAAGACCTAATTGCAATTTTATAGATTTTAGTTTTATATTAATTCAGACCTCATGTCCAATGTGTAATAATTGAAAGTTAGTAAAAAAAATTAATTTTTATATTTTTTATACACATGTATTAATTAATAAAAAATGATAAATATGAATACTATTAAATAATAAAAATATTTCAATCATGTAGTGTAATTCGATGTGTAATTATATCTACTAAAACTATTTTTTGAATACACATAATTTATCTAGAATCATATAAAGTAGCGCACTTTATATATCAGTAGACTGCACTTTATAAAATAACACGTTGCACTTTATTGAGCAACACGTTGCACTTTATACAATCAACAATTAACGTCGATAGCTTCCGCCAAAATACCACAACATCATAAATATAAAAAATGTATCTACATAATATAATGTNGGTGCAATTTATAAAATAACACACTACACTTTATCACAAAATCCCACAATAAAGTACCGCGCAACATACATAAAAGAAAAAGATTGACATAATATTTTAATATATTTTGTTATATATATATATTTTTTTTTTTGCATATTCATTTTAGGTCTTTTCAAAATATGTATACATATAATGCTAAAAGATTAACTATATTTTTATAATAAAACTAAATAATTATTTTGATTATTTATGGTGTTTTGATTAACCGATAGAATATAATCGATTATGTCCGTTCATTTTTCGAGTTCGAATCATAAAATTTGAATGCACTGTGAGTGCACAATATATAGTAATAGAAGATTTTCACATCAGTAACTCTCAAATTACATAATAGCTATTGAGACGAACGAATTAAATTTTTTTATTTGAAAGTTATATTTTAGTTCGATTAGGTATATTCATTTTTATCAATTATTTAGTTCGGTGTCAGAATTATATGTTTTTTTTAAATAACCGAAATAACTGAAACAACCGAATTATGTGAAAATATTATTGTTGTTTTATATAATTTTACGTATTGCCATTGCACATTAATGTTGTACGAATTGCACAATACTGACTACTGGATTGCACAATATCAACTTGTTTCGTCCAAGCTAATAATCTTAGTTCAATTTTTTAATTGCCATTTTTTTAAATTTAAAAACTTGATTATGCCGGTTCAATATCAATTTTTTTTTATTTAGATAATTGGACAACCGAACTATATAAAAAATATTAATTCTATAATTATATTTTTTATATAAAAATAACTGAAAAAACCGAATTATGTGAAAATATTATTGTTATTTTATATAATTTTACGTATTGCGATTGCACATTAATGTTGTACAAATTGCATAATACTGACTACTGGATTGCACAATATCAACTTGTTTCGACCAAGCTAATAATCTCAGTTAATTTTTTTAAATCTCATTTCAATTGCCATTTTTTTAAAATTTAAAAACTTGATTATGCCGGCTCAATATCAAATTTTTTTATTTAGATAACCGAACAACCGAACTATATAAAAAAAATACTAATTCTATAATTATATTTTTTATACAAAATATTATTAATTTTTGGTCATAAGTCATAACAAATACAAAATTCCAAACATTAAATGAGGATATTAAAAATATTAATTATATTTTGATTATTTACAAATTAACCCATGAACTCAATTGTAATAGACAAAAAATTGTTGAAACTACAACTATGTCCCTAAGTCTTTTCAAATATACAAAACTAAGTCCCTACTCTAAATCTGCAAATCAAACTCCGTTTCCTAAACATTCACTTTGGCCGCCGTCGGGGACATCATCATGCAGCCACCGAGGACCTTCACCGTCCGGCGAACACATTTCCGACCACCTTTCCAATGTCAGACGCCTCCATCATCGAACACCTTGATTTCACCAGCAAAATATAATTTCAGTATATACTCTCCGCCGCCGAGAAGACGGCGACGGGATGGGCCGGGAAGACAGCGGCCGAGAAGACGGCGACGGACTAAGACTTCGGCGGGGTCGAGACCTGGTGCGTGCGGTGGTCAACCTGGGGTCCAACTAAGGACGGTGGCGACGTCGATGGATTCGGCGGAGGTCGGGGATATCGATGGACGAGGCGGTGGCGAATTCTCCAGCAACTGCGACGGCGGACTGAAGGTCCGAATGTGTGTGTGCAGTGTGGTATGTGTGTAACACCCCAAATCAGTAATAAAATTAAGAACGGTTTCACTGCTCGACTATAAGTGAAATTTGTAATTTTCAGAATTTTCCGAGTTATATTTTATATGCTAAATGCTCAAATATAATAGATTATTCTTTAGAATATTCTATATCAAGTTTAAGTCAAGATCAATCCATTAATTTGGGTTGTTAAATTATAGCTATTCAACTCGAGAATTTATTCAGCTTCGAACTCTAGTTTGGCTCCGAACCATTTATCTAGTAAATCCCGAGCATATCTGAGAATTGGTATTTTTATACCTAGAATAATTTTCTAAGTGTAGGAATGTATAAAGCTCAAGTCTGTGACCCTCATTGTCGAGCCTAACACTCACCCGAGCCCGCTCGTGCCAAGCCTCGCGCCTGCGCCTCATGCCGCTCCCAAGCGCGTGCCCACCGAGCTCAAGGTCCATCCAAGTCATGGCTATGCATTTTTAAATTTTTCTAAGTATTGAGAACCTCATTTAAGCCTTAAAAGCCTTAGAAATTCACTCCAAGTCCATTTCCCACGCGCAGCCCGCACAGACCCCGCGCCAGTCCAGGGCCGCATGCAGCCAGCCCGTGCCAGCCCAGCGCTGGCAGCGTGACAGGCCCACCTTCTTGAGTCCAAATGCAAAGTTTTGGCCCACTTATTTTCAGCCCAATAACATGCGAATATTAGGGACTTAATGAGAGTTTAACTCAGCATCATTAACCCTAAGAAAAGCTTAACCAAAGTTAATTAGTGCCTAAGCAAATGGAGCATGTGCCACCATTATTTTAATCAAAGAAGTTTGTCCTTGTCCCCCACCATTTTGGATGCTCGATCAGACCTGCTTTTCCTTAGTAAAATACTCTTCAAATACCACTAAATGCTCTCCAAAAAGCGTGCTAAAAGATGCCCCAAGACCACCCTATTTCCCATGCACATGGAAGTTATGCAAAGTCATGAACTGTGTCCCCTTTGACCAACCTAGCAAACTCCGCCCCCCTAGCTAATTTAAGACCTTATTACTCAGCCTTTTGGAGCTCTTGGGCAGTTAAAAACTCAGCATACATTGAGAGGAGAAGAGGAAAAACCGAGACTAAGGCACCAAGCCCGCGCGCGCACCACCAACCCGGGAAGAGCACCACCGCACTTCAGCCATCTCCAGACATATTCTCTCGTGGCTTATCACTATCCAAGTGTTCCTTGGATTTTTATAAGTTATTTGAGTCAATAAAGCTCGGCCAAATTCCACACCAAGTCGACCCTAAGTCCCAAAGCCGAGCCTTGCCTCATTTTGAACCCTAGCACTAGTTTTCCATTTCCAGCTGAGGTAAGCTCGTACCTTTTAATTTATTTAGTCAATTTATGACATAATATGATTTATCATGAAGTAAAACCGAGCCATGCATGTGTTAAAGGCAAGTTTCAAATTTAATTATTAAATGGCCTTAAAAAAATAAATTTTAGTAGCAAGCATGCCCGAGTCTAAATTCATAGCTAAATCACCCTCATTTATCTTGTCGTTGATGCTGAAAAAGTTTGAGCCTAATTGGAGTTTGTTTGTTCGGTCTAATCGTTCACAAAAATGTGCCATTTTTGACCCCCCGAGCCTTAGTATTGTGCATGCAAGATATGACACATGCATTAGCCCCTATAGTCATCATTTTGGGTGTTAATCATTCGAACATAAGTGGTGTTATAAGTTATGAAAGTTGGTTCGGAGAGTTGGTGCTTGTGGGTGCCATATAGGCCCTCCCGAGCCACATTCATGTTGACCCGAGTCATCCTAGCATTTTATGTGATATTTATCCTTTTTGTATCATATCATGATGTTGTGTGTTGCATGTCACCAGAGGTCCGGGAAGGGCCGGCCTTGGTCGCTGTCTGCACATATAGTGCGGTAGTGCCCGGCCCCAGTGCCTGCAGAGGCTAGCCTAGCCAGTGCCCGCGCCCGGTAGGCGTGGCGCACAGCTCGCGTGCACGCAACAGCGCCCGCAGCGCCCAGTGCGTGCCGTGTGGCCAGTATCAGCGTCAGTCGCGCCTAGCACCCTCCGACAGCACCCGGCAGCGCTGTCCCCAGCTCAAATGCGTGTGGTCCAGGGCTAGTTTGCTCGTGCCCGCACATATTCAGTCCCGAGAGCCCCAGCATGCGTGGTCGTGGCACCCAGCGTGCACGGTCCATGCGCACGACGCCTTGCAGCGTCCGTGCCAAGTCCCAGCGCACGAGGTCTAGCCCTGGAGCCTCGTGCCAAGTCCGTGCTGACCCGAGCCGGGTCAGCTGAGCCCAGTCGACCTCAGTGCGTGTCCAGCAGCACGCCCGAGTGCCCAGTGACCTCGGGGACGGCCGGTAGCGCCCGTGTGGCCTCTGCGTGTCTGTCCCGTGCCAGCAGAGTCTGGCCAGTGCCCGTCCGTGCCCAGCCGCACGACAAGCCCTCAGTCGAGCCTCGGTTGTGCCCAGCGTGCACCCAAGAGGCACCAGTCGTGCCTAGGCCATGCCAGCAGTGCCTGGCGTGCCTGTCCGCGCCAGTGTGCGCCCAGCCTAGTCCAGCAGCACAGGGACCAAGCCCGGCCGCACCAGCAGTGATGAGGAATCGCGTGTTCCTGACTCGTGACCTTGCCTCGGACGTTGCGTGAACTCGATCTTCGGCTAGGGTTGCGGATGACTCAGAGGTTAACTCCTTATCTTCTCGCGATATGTGAGACAGCTTGGACGGATGTCCTTGCCAAACTTGTCTTGTTCGAGCTATGCGGTGGAACGCTCTTCTCGTGACAAGGGTTTTGTACTAAATCTCAAAAGAAATCTAACACAAGAATTTGAACACAAGGTTCGACTTTTTCATTATTTTCTACATGTTAATTTCGAATGACAATGGACATAGTTATAGATGCCAAACTAAGTCTAATCCTAGTCTAAGAAGAACTCCTAATGCATGGAAATAAATAAAGTCCTAAGGAAACTAGATATCTAATGAATATAGACTTACCTAAACTACTTAGATACTATTAGGCACATGCCTTTTATTCCCAATCCTAACCAAACTATTATTCCTAATTATGCTAAGTAAATCATATGCCAATCCCATTTTCTTGATCGGCAAGACAATCGCGCGCCAAAAACCTAGCCATCCGAGTCGCGCCGCCTCGCCATGCCTATTCCTCCTCGCGCGCGTTAACGCGCGCGCGTGCCTTCCACGCGTTGCCCTTATCGCGCGCCTTGCACCCTCGCCCTTTGGCCCGCGCGTGCTCGCCCCTCGCGAGAGTGCCCCGCACGTCCACTCGCTTGGTCTCACTTCCTCGATCGCTCATCGCACTGGTCGCGTCCCAGCCACGTGCGCGTGTGTCGCGCACGAATACTTCGTCGCCCCACTCGACCAGCGTCTCGCGCGTGTCTTTGGTCGTCTCGCGCGTAGATCGCGCGTTGGTCCCCACTGCTCGTTCGTAGCTGGTCGCGGTGCGTGCTAACCACACAACATCCTCCCCTCGCGCACCGCCCGGTTCCTCCGCCGCGTACACGCCATCGTCATGCCCTTTTCTCGCGCGTCCTGTTCCAGCGCACGTGGTCACGCGACTCCCGCGTGCCGCGTGCCTACGCCTCGCGTGTTGCCCCCTCGCGCAGCCTTCGCGAGTCCTCTTAGCACGGTCCCGGGGGTCGTTCTGACCCTTATCGGGCTCGGATGGGTCGATGACCACATCCGCATCATTCCTCCCCCCTTTGAGTCTTTCCTTGTCCTCAAGGATAATGAATTGAAGACTCCTTAACTTGATCAGCTCGGATCCCTCGTCAATTGTGCACATCTTGATTCGCTTCTTGTCTCGTTCAAACTCCATCGTGCCTTTTTTGAAGTTTGTGGTTATGGACCCTAATGTCTCCAGCCACTGGGCTCCAAGCACCACCTCGGGTCCTTCTAACTCTAGCGCATACAAATCTACCCTTGGCTCTTCGCCTTGCACACGTATTGGCACCTTTTTATACAACTCCGAACTCCAAAGTTCCTCGCCATTTGCGTCCTTAACCCAAACGGTACAATTCCCGTCATGTGCACCTCAAGCTTTGCGGTGAAGTCTAGGTTGATGAAGTTAAGTGATGTCCCACTATCGACCAACACGTTGACCCTCCGTCCCAAAATCTCGGCCTCGAACCTTAGCATCTTAGGCCCCTTCTTCGCCTTGACCATATGCATTAGTCAGGGATTTAAATATAAGTTCCTCCCTTCATCGTGCTTTTCCTCAGGTTCGGGCTCGTCCGTCGTGGTCTCGTCATCCTCAGAATCGATCACTTGGATTAAGTAGACCTGTTTGCAACGATGGCCCGGAGTGAACCTCTCATCGCACTTGAAGCAGAGACCTTTCTCTCGCCTTCTTTTTATCTCCTCATAGGTTAAGTTCTTCACCTCGGTTGGTCGCGCCTTGAAATTGCTAGGCGCTCCGCGACTCGCGTCTCGGTTGAGGTTGGTCTCGCTATGAGTTGCCCGCTGTGGCTCGGTGGGGTGGTTGTCATTGCGCCCGACCCTTCTCATCGCGACCAAGTGATCGTCGCGTCTACGCGCGACCTCCATGGGATCGCGCATCGTCACGGGCCTCACTAACCGAACCTCCGCGGCCAGCTCGAACTTCAGTCCCCCTACGAATGCCCCGACAAGTGCTCCCTCGGGCCATCCACGCACGCGACATGCGATGCGCTCGAACTTCTGTTGATACTCGTGCAAGCTCCCCGTCTGCTTGATATGCGCGAGCGCCTCATCGTAGTTGTGGTAGTCCGACGCACCAAACCTTGTGATGAGCTCCTTCTCAAAAGTTTCCCACCGGATTTGCTCATTGCGGTTGTGGTAGATGCTCGAGAGCCACTGCCACCAAACATTAGCCTCGCTGTCCAGGTAGTAGGCTGCATACCTTACCCACTCGGCTCGGGCAATCTCGTTAAGATGAAAATA